GGAAAGAACTATTAATTAATATTCAAGGAAAGAAGTTTAAGAAAATAACTCACAACTTTAATAATCAACAAGCTTCAAGAGCAACACCAAGAATGGAAGTTTAGCTCCTCATTTGGAGGCTAAACAAAGCTAGAAAAATATAAAGAAAGTCTATTCTAAACTGAGCTAAAGAGTTTGGAAGAAGGGATTCTTTTTTGTGAAGAAAAAGTGTGCTATTTATAGGTGTTTTTCAACACCTTTGGCCGGGTACCCGACCGGGTCAAGTACTTACCCGACCGGGTCCGGTCAAAATCAGATAATTCGCCACGTTCTGGTGATCTTCGCACGTCGTTTTGTCCCGGGTCACATCTGACCCGACCGGGTCAAGTAGGGGACCCGACCGGGTCCAGTGACTTTCTTGGCAATTTCGTCAGTTAAATCATACCCGACCGGGTGGGGGTTTCTACCCGGTCGGGTTTGACTCCTGGGCAGTCAAATTTCTTGTTTTCTTCTCTTAAAGTCTTCCTTTCCGACACCACAAATCCTAACTATACTTTACAACTTATAAATGAGAATTAAAATACGATTACAACTAAAATCACACAAATGTTTACAAACTAAATAAAACGGTAACAATACACACAAATCAATCATAAAAATATACATTTATGCACTACTAATGAGTGCATATCAAGCATCACACTTATTCAGTTGAGTATTAGGAACCATTTACAAAAGAAAGAAGTATCAAAAAATCCAAAATGTCATTTGAAATTGCTAATGTGCTCAAATCCTTATTTGTCTATACTCATTTCGTATAAACATTATGCTCATTTGGCACGTGAGAGCGATGTGGCAAGGGTTGGATTGATTTGTCAGGTCAATCTCAGCGGAATGTAGTATATACAGAGCATTAACGTTGTCCTATAGAATCTCTGCAACAACAGAGATGGAGGTAACGCAACGAACTTCTCGAAGAAGATGATTGGTGCTCGTTGGGGTGATCTTTTTCGGTGGGATTAATGCTGAAAGCGAAAGTGGGGGGTGGGTTGACGGTCGGAAGACTGGCCGGTTCCGGAACTCGCTGGTGGTGGCCGGTACAAGTGGGCGAACGAACTGGCTGGTGCAAAACGAGTAAGCGGCTGAAGAGAAAAGAAAAGAGAATGGAAGAAAGATCCAGAAGAAAAGGTAAAAGAGGAAAACGGCGGAAGAGCAAGGAGGATGGAAAGAAGATCCGGCGAGAAGGAAGAAGGAGAGAGCAAAGGTTTAAAGTTTCTAATAATTACAAAATAACCGGTGTACGTGTACACCCGGATGTAGGATATAATTTGCGTACTTGGAAGGGGGAGCACTCAACTTATAATCATAGTCGCAACTTTCAACCCACGAGTAGTTTTATATACTAGTATATAATAGGAAACCAAGCATACCAGCTCAGCAGATTGTGAGGTTTTGTGTTCGAAACACGCTATACACCAAAGTTAAGATGAGGAAGATCTTGCTCCCAATGACTCTTCCTAGCTAGGCCTGACATTTTCAACCGAAAAACCGAAAATCGAACCGAAAATAACTGTACCGCTTTAGAAAAAACCGAACCGGACCGAACCGAACGAAATTGGGACCCAATAATCAGGACCCGAAAAAATATCGGTTCGAGTTCGGTTTATGTGAACAAATTATCGGTTCGAACCGAACTGACATTTTTATATTAATAATAATAATTGTTATTTATAATAATAATAATTAACGACGTTTAATATATGTATAACATTAAACGGAGACAGTCACATTCAAGTGGGACGTGTTAGAAAGCTGGTCGAATAGAACAAATGTTAATGAGGCAACATTTTATTTAACATTTTCATATTCGTTTTCAACATTTTTCTGGTGACTTTTTATTTAACATTTTCGTTTTCAACATTTTTCTTTCTTGTAAAAACTTCGTCCCACACCAAAAGAAGAGGGGTTTACTCCTCCAAAAATTTCTATAATAATAAGGGATGTGCTCACTTTTCATATTATGCTTTTGGGTCTTGTATTCCAGCAATGGAGTACTAAATGAGCCTTTAACGGGCTCAAAATTCAAATAGCCACATTTTGGGCTTGATGAATTGAATAATAGTTCAAGTTTTATCCTTTTGAAATATAATAATCGATTTTTTTTCGGTTTTTGACAAACCGGCCCTAAAAGTCGGTTCCCAAAAATATGGGACCCAGTGTATCTACGGTTCGGTAAGTTGGTTTCCAAAAATATAGGAATCCTACCTTCACGGAGTTGACAACCGCTATGCTCCGTGCTAAGTCGTGAACTCGAAATAGTTGGAGCTCAATATACTCCATTACTTTATATATTCCTTAATGAGTACATTGAGTAGTTTAATTCGTAAAGTAGTTCGCTACCCTCCGTATACTACATGATAGAATGTAAAATGTTTTTTTAAACTACAATTTACATTAAATAATTAAAATAAACGGTGTAAAATGTTTACATTCTTACACTTGTGTTCACACTTGTGTTCGAAGTGTACCTTACATCATAACAAATGGGCCCTAAATCAGATAAATCTGTTTAAGAGCCCGTTTGGTAGTACCCTAATCGGTTATATTGTTTGATTCTGATTAAATTTATGAAGTTTTGGTTGAAGTGATTGTGGTGGCAAATTCTGCTGATTTGTGAAAAAAATATTTAAAATATATTTTATTAATAAAATAAAAAAGCAATTATTTGAAAAATAGCTAAAACGGTCATCTACAGTAACTTTAGTCAATATAACCAGAAAAGTAACATCAACCTTACGTTTTCTTATTATTACACATTACAGGGCGTGAAATCATAAATTACGTGTTTGATATAAATGTTGTCTGATAAGACTGAAAAGCCAAAAATCATGACTACCAAACGGGCTCTAAATGTGACCCCGTTACAGGATTAATCCCACTAAGAAGTATACATATTGTAATGTTTCAAACAAAAAATTAATTTTACAGAACACTTTTCTACTAATATACATACGTAGTACAACAATCCATCAATACAACTGCCACGACTATTCAATTAGTCAACAAAAAATAGCTAACGCAATTAGTCCGTGAAAATAACTAACATAGAGATAACCTCTAGGGCCTCTAGGCAATTGTAGAGGTGATTCACTGTGATATATCGAATATTTCCTCTCATACTTTTTTCGTACCAAAACTTTCGGTATATAAAATTTGTACATCATTACCTTACGAAGTTTTGGTATACCGCATTTTGGTAATAGTACAATATCGGTAAATTATCATGCATGTCTCTCAATACAACAATTATCATAGAACAATGAAATATATTAAATCGGTGTTACTATCGACATATTTAATCCATTATTAAAATGTTACAAAATACAATTAATAATCTATTGATGTGATATTCAATATTGAACAATAATTATTATTAGTATATTTAAACCGTTCAACATGCCACATATTAAAAATAATACATTCTTCTAAAATAAATTGAAAAATATAGATATAATTAAATCAATAGTGATCTCTAACAAAAAAAAATAAAATTATTCAAACCACATAGATATAAAAACATTTATTCCTGATATGATATTGTGTATTTAGTCATTTTTTATAATTTCAAAAAAAAAGACTTCCGCACAAAATTGTGTGTCTCGACTTGTGAAATCCCTATGTAGATACGCTCGTCACATAAGTGTATCCATCTTCACACGTCAGCTACTCAGCGGCTCAGCCATCGCGTTTCCAAGCTTTTGGAAGATGATATTGTTTCTGGACAGTGGTACATTACTATTTAGTCATTAGGGTTAGTTTGTTTGAATGTTACGTAGAAGAAGTCTTAAAGGTTATAGTGGGTTTGGGAAATTGGGTCTTTATTTTTGTATTTTGGTATATTTAACTTACCTAAGTATTAATTTTGGACTTCAAAATTGTAATGGACTCTTACAATATTTTAGAATTAAAAGTAATTGTTGTGTAGGAAGTCGGTACGGTATTATACCGGTATACCGTGGTATTTGAAAACATTTATCGTTACCGTACCGAAATAAATTGGTACAGTAGGATACCGTATCAAAAATGGCGGTATACAAATATTACGGTATTTTCCGGTATTTTTCGATACGGTAAGTATGGTATTCCGATTTTCCGGTATTTTTGCCCACCCCTAGACAGTTGTACCCAAAGAAGCTAAACAGGTTTGGGCATCTTCCCACCGTATAAAGTAAAACCAGATTCCATGGGGTATACCTTCATGGGAGAGATGTGTGGACGTTTGTTCTACACAATAGGGATTCGCAACTCATGAAAAGGTTGGTGCAAATAAGAGATGACATTGTCTCTAAATTTCCAGGTCTGGCCGAAGCTATACTATACCTTGGAAAATGTACTTTAAATGGGAAACTTTCACCTTCCAAAGTATATGATCTTTTAAGGATTAAGGGGACAGCTCATGCTTGGATGTCATTCATTTGGAAACCTTATGTCCCTCCCAATTTTCGTTTATCACGTGGCTAGCTTTGCGAAATAGGCTAGCGACCTCGGATAACTTGGGATATCTTAATTTGCCTAATGTGTGTTTCTTTTGTAAGGGTGGTCCAGAAACAGTACCACACATGTTTTTTGAATGTTCTGTTTCAGGTCAGGTTTGGAAAGCTATAAGGGAATGGCTAAGAATGACAAGGCGGATGACAACGTTGAGAAGCTCTATAAAGTGGATCCAAAGGGAATGCAAAGGAGCGCACATCCGAGCCAAAGCTATACGGATAGCATTCTGTTTTACTACATATTGGATATGGAGAATAAGAAACTATATACGTTTTGATGGAGCTACATACAACGTGACGGAAATGATCACCCATATTAAGTATATGGTGTATAAAGTGTTATATTCCCTATATCCGTATCACTTGAATACTTTTTGAAACTATTGGCGTCACCTAGTTTTTGTTATGGTTGTCATAGAAAAGAGAGCTTTATCTTTTTGGTGGTGATAGGGCATCCTTTCTTGAGATAGCCTAAATTTTTGTATCATGTATATGAAGTACAGAACTACTTTGAATATATATATTTACATTTTATTCAAAAAAAAAAAGTAAAACCAGATGGTTGATAACAATAAAGAACAAACCTCAAACACTTGAGAATGCTCTGTTCATACGCATTTGTTTAGTGAATAAACTTATGAACAATGAACAAACAGAACACAAAAATATAACATCTCAAATGCCTTCTAGTCCATATAACACATTAGAATCAAGGATTCCCAAGCTGAATATTTCTCAGGGACAAAAGGCTCTCAACATATTCAAAAGAATGACCACTATAGCCATATGTGCTCTCGTAAAGGACCTTATATTCATTCGAAGCAAGATTGATCAAAAAAGTATCAACTTTAACGTCCGAATAATCGTCCCCCTCCTCAAGTTGAACCGTACTAAAGTATGACACCCCACTGCAGACAATGTGATTCCTACAAATCGTCCATGGGTGTATAGAGAACCAAATTGTCCATGGATGTATAGAGAATGGATAAGGGCCAAAAGTACACTTCTTACTCCAAAAGGTGCCAATGCCTTCCTCAATCACCCACAAATCAAGAGCAGAATTGCTTGAATTTGTAGAAAAAGAGGAATAAAATAGGGCAGGCCGGTTCTCATACACAGTCAGTTTAGCTTCTCCCTCCCCGGATAAAGCAGGTGTCGGTATCAATATAAAGTCTTCCAATGCTAAATCAAAAGAAACTATGACAAGAGATTGATCTAAACCTGTCTTCCTTGCTAGCCAAAAGATCGATCCATTAACGTTGAGGCTTTGAGAGAAACCGCGTATACCATCTAAACAGCTGAATTCTATGTCCTTCCAAGAATTTGTAGCTAATGAATAAACTTCAACTCCACTAACCACATTATTAACCATATCACGCCAAGACGCATAGGTCATCACAATAATCTTGTAATCATTAACAAATGGATTGAATCCGAATCCCAAATAATGAACTCTAAGTGTTCTACTTCTAGGAACCCGCATAACCTCTCGAAGCGCAGGATTCCACATTGAAAGAGGATCGAGCCGACCGCCGGTTTGAAGACAGACCAAGCCGTTGCAGGAGCCGAGAATCCTGTGGGGTCTGATGGAATCGATCGGAGGTCCGACCTGAACCTCGCGGAGTCCCTTGTTCAGGTCGAGCGAGTATTTAATCAAAGCACCATCGTAGGTCGAAATAAGAGAAGGGATTTGATGGTTGGAATAGTTGAGGTGGTCGGTGATGAAGGAAGGGGCGCTGATGATGTTCTTCCAAAGATCGCATACACTTCGGAATCGGATCAGAGATTTCACTGGAAGCCGCTTAAGAATGTTTGTGATGATTTCTTCTGGAAGGTATGGGATGCCACTCTCCGTCTTCTCCCGCTTCATAGTTGCTTTTCGTTTTCTCTTCCTGAAGGTACGGCCGGGTCTGGGATTCGAAAAAGTGATATGAGGGAAAAGTTCACAAATGTGAAAAGTATTGCTTAAGCAAACATTTATTACGGAGTAATAATATTCTAAATTTTCTTTCGAATTTTTTAGTATATTAATTAATTATAGTGCGTGACTCTAGGATTTAAGTTAGATTAGAATTGTTATGTCGTTAATTTATTTAGTATTAAGTTACTTGAAATTCTGCGTTAGATGGAATTCTACTTGGAATCACTTCATGGGACACCCACCAAAATAAAAACGCTCCATTTTTCAAATTGATGTAGTTGCAAAAAAATGATTTTAATCTTTTTCATTTGTAAATGAATTTTACTAAAATATATATCAAAATTCATGATTTTTTATTATCTTTCACATGACATCAGTATTTCATATGTAAAAATAAAAAGAATTTTGAACATAGGATAGATGCAAGTGTTTAGGCTCAAAGCTTTTTTAAAATACATCCAAGATTTAAAATTAAAGAAAATATCCGAAATAGGAGTAAAAAGTATGAAAATTCGAAAATAGGACACCCATATTTTTGTTTCCGAAATTGGAGTAATTACGGCCAAGTTTGCAAAATACTACCATATTTAAAGTCTGGTACTGTCAAAACATGACAGTAATTAATCGTATTTTGGGACGAAAGATATGATAGTCCTATTGTGGAATAAAGAAATGTTTTTAGTCCTATTTAGGGTAATTTTCCTTAAAATTAAGATCTCATTATTTTATTGCGTAATTTCATTCTGCAATTAGGGATCACTTTTATTGAATACTATGGAGTAATGATTTATGAAAAATTATGACAATAATAATGTAATATTAAAGTTTTACAATGCCAAATCATTACACTAGATTTTAAGATGACACTAATTAGTCCTATTTGGGGGGAAATTATGCTACTTCGATTATGGAATTTTACGTTACTTTAATTCTTTCTGTAAATTTTCTCCATTTTTATTGATTTAAATATTTGATGGATATAAATTTCGAATATTAATGTTTGTCATTACAAATTCTCTAAAGTAACTTAGTATGTAAACCCTTTTTCTATAGTCATTTGTTTTTTGACCAAAAATTAGTTGTAATAATCACTAACCATGTATAGCATGGATGTTCTACTAGATAATTCATCGATTTTGATATTTTAACTATTTTCTACTTTTCTTTATCTATTTTTAAAGTTTTTATGTATTTTTATGGAGACATTCAATTCTTTTAACTTACTCGAGTATTTTAAGAAAACTATTATAGCAACTCAAGGCCGCCAGATTGTTTTTTTATTTCAAATTTGACCAAAAATAGTTGCATACGTGTAATTAGTGTCTTGTGTTGTGTTGAGTTGCTACACAAAAAAGTTGTTTCGAGTTACAAACATCTCAATGTGATTGTGTTTACGTGACCAATCCTACTAGATTGTTGTCAGGAATAACCTTCAATTGTAAATTAAGTACGTAACAAAGAATAAATTTTTTATTAAAAACAAAGAAGAAAAATAAAATCCCATATTTTTTTTAAAGTGCTGTAACTTTTATATTTGTACTCAGATTGTTACAAAAATCATATCAAAATTCTTAATTTTTTATTATCTTCATATGACACCAATATGGAATATCTAAAAATAAACAAAAAAAACACTTTAAAAACATCTTTTTTTAAGTGCTATAAATTTTTTATTTGTACTCCGATTGTTACAGAAAATATATCAAAATTCATAATTTTTTATGAACTTTAATGTGTCACCAATGCTGAATATTTTTATATAATACTACATATGAAATAGAAAAATTGCTACAATTATTGGAAGGAAAATTCTGGCACAAAATGTAATCTTTATCTTTATATAATATAAAGTAACAATATTGCTACAACTATTGAAGGGAAAATCCCCGCACAAAGAAAAGACATAATTGGAAATTAGTGTTGAACCTGAAAAATGCCGCCCAAGGGAGAAACTGTACGGTAGAGCATACATGCATATAAGGAAATGAAATATATGGTGAAACATTTATTGTACACAAATCTTTATCAAACAATATGTATATATTAATATGCAAACCGAGAAATATCAGGATAAACTACCAACCTACTATAAAAAGTGTATTTAACAAATTAACTAAAAATCAAAATAAAGTGTAAGTAAATATGCAATCAAGATATTAGATTCGCTAACCTGATATTGAAATTTACGATCACCAAACAAAAAAGTATTATATTGTTCAATGATTTTTGGAAAGAAGGAAGACACACCCCTATCATTCATTTATGACCACGTTTGAAGTTGACATATATGAATTGAGCGTATAAATGCATTATGATTTGACTGGATTATATATGTCAACTTTTCAAATTGCTTATATGAACCACAAAAAAAAAGAAAAATATTGCCTTATATGTAATATGTTGTATATGTTATGCACATATGTTGTAATATGTTGTTAAAATCTAAAAAAAACATATTCTCTCCCATTACATAAATGTGCCTAAATTATTCTGTCCAAATTTTATCCAAAAATAGTACTACCTCTGTCCCCTAATATTGAGACGAAAGCGAGTGGTGTGGTTTTTAAGAAAAATAGAATTATGTGGTTGATAATGAGTTGATAAAGTGGGAATAAAGTAAGAATGAATTAAAGTGATCACACAAATGTTATCAAATACGGTAAAAGATAATAATAGGGGGGACATCCCAAAATAAAAAAATGGGACAATCACACGGGAACGAAGGGATCGGAGTACCATCGAAGCAATTTTAAGTTTCTAAAACCTAAATAATTTAATTGCTTATATAAATAGCAACAAAATTTCAATTCTCATCCTCAAACTCTTTATATATACTTAATTTTCCGCCTTTCATTAACAATCCCGGTAAGAACAATGCATCTAGATGAAATCGAGTCCAAATCTATTACGTTGTGCTATAAAAGATATAATTAGCGAAGAGGAAAAAATCATATAGAATTATGTAGAATGCTAATTCTGATGAAGTGTGTAATATTATTCTTATATAAGCTAATTATCTTATATAAATATGTTTACATGTTAAGTTATGCATATCGATATATATACATATTATATGTGTATCCATAATGCTAAAATGAAGGGTGTTTTTTTCTTCCTAAAATTAAGATCATGTGGGAAATGAAAAAGTAATTTTGATTCTCAAGAGCTTAGGGACATTAAAAAGTTAAAAAGTAATATAAGAAGTATTTTATATTGTGTTTACTTAGACTGTTTTCAGTCCCAGACCACAACAGATCAAATTTCAACATACCAGACCAGATCAATCACACTTTCATAGTTATAAAATACCTAAAGACCAGACATCTACCAGACAAGACCCGAACAATTCAGACTATACCAGACCAGACTTAAACATACCGATCAAATCAACAAATTTTAGTCCAAGTAAAAACATCCAAAACGGGCTGATGAAGTATATATTATTTACTATGTGTAGGAAAACTTCATTCTAATGCGTGAAATCAAGAGTTACACGTTTGATGGGAAAAATGGTTGATAAACCATGATACCTAAAAAAAGTATGGTCACCAAACGGGCCCATACCATCACAAAAGTTTTGTTTTTGCTTCTTTTTTTCATAAGTGGTTTATTTTAAAATTTAGGTGAGAAGAGATTAATAGTAAAATTCGGTAATGTTTGAAAACAATTGAATTGAAAAGAAAAAGATATAGCGTTCAACCTCAGATTAGACTAGAGTCAAATAGACTATATTAAACCATACTTCGATAATTGCAAAAATACACAAAAATATGACATTTACCAAATCACTTAAGACCAGACCAGACTAGACCATAATTTTTTTATCAAATTTAAAACATCCTAAACCACAACAGTAATAATATAATTGAAATGTCACAACACATACCAGTGGAATTATCACTGTTAATATAAATTTGAATAATTATATTTTACTATGGAATTAGACCACAACCAAATTTTAAATATTATTTTTTGTATTTGCACCCCTTTATTCAATGTGAATTGTTTAGGCTTGATTGAAACCACAAAAAATATTCCCTCCGTTCCTTTTAAAACTTCCAACTTTCCTTTTTCGTCTGTTCCAATTAAAACTTCCACTATCTCTTTTTGGTAAAGAATTTGTGATTCACAACATTTCTTACACATTTCTCTCTCCTCTGCACAACTCTCCACCACACAATACTCATTATCTTAAATTGTGTGCAAAACCTATTTGGAAGATTATATAGGAACGGAGGGAGTACATTAACATATGATTGTTCTTCACTTTTTGAGTAAATTAGATGCAACCTCTTATTGGCATAGTGTTTTTAATATTTGTATGAATTATATACATCTTAATAATATAAATGAATATTTACTTTGTATTTATTTGTAAACCATCTAATATGTTTATCCTTGCACTTTATTAAATGTTGCAAGCTTGGAACAATTCTTTGCACCAAAACAGAGTTTGATAAATGAAAGTTTGCACCTAATATGATTTCACGCTTACGAGGCTAATAGTAAATGTGTTTTGGATGTGAAGATTATATCCGGCATAAGTATTGGTGAAACACTTTTTATTTCACTGTTATCATTGGTCCCGTGATACGACAGAATTTTTTCATATTTCAACGCTTAAAATCTTCAATCATCGTTTCATTTCCCACGAGTCCATGACATAAAAAACAATCAAAGATAATGTCTGTACAAGTGGATATACATCCAAATTCCATTTTTATGCATGGTCAATTGTATGTTGTCATGTAAAGTGCCACCTCAATGGGTGGATTAAGGATTCATATATTTGATGATGAGGGTCATGCTATCAACACCAATGGCCTAAATGATTTTTTTTTGAAAATTTATGATACTTTTTGTATATTATGAAGATATATGATTATTCTTTTTATAAAGTTTCATGTGATCCACTAATAATTGTATTATAGTGTCATTTCATTGTAACATAGAGCTTACTTTTACACTTTATCATTAATTTTAATTTTAGTTTTAGTTTTACTTGCATTTTTTCATGCA